TATATATATATAACATTGAAGATCCTGATTAGACTTAAAATTATGTTTGCAAAATACTACACAAAAATGTATTATCAAAGGTTGAAAAACCAAATGCTAACAGTTCTGTCCTGAGAGCGGGATTTGAACAGTCTCCACTAAGTAAATAAGTGCCTATTACTAAACAGCATGGAAAGAAAACAAAGCAAATTGCTCACTGAAAGTGCGCAGCCCAGTTCCACGCACTAAATGAGGCAGGAGGCGTTTGGACCAAGCAGTGTGTATGCAGGTGTTTCATAGATGTTTCATGCACACACCGGGACCAAATGAATGTTTCACAGACAACTCTGATTTTGATTTGCTATTTATGACTGTTTTCCTTTGCAACCTTAATAATGTTCCTTTAACAAAGCTTTCCAAATATGTCTAAATTCCTTGCTATAATGCAACAAACAAGATTAAAAGAAAATGTGTCATAATTTAGCAATATCTTTGGTCACCAGCAGAGACAAAACCTTCAGGCTTCCCAGACAGAATACAGTCGCACGAGCTAATGTCACACTTTGGCGCTCTGAGAATTGCTGAAAAATTTAAGCTGGATAAAACAATATATTTAATAGCCCAATTATCAGAAAACTCTGAAGGTTTTTGGTTGAGATTGTTTTAAAAAAACAGAGAAAGGAATCCCAAAGTACATCATGATAATAAAACAGTGTAGAGTTGCTCAGGGACACTGAGAGTGGAAAATGTTAGAATGTGTTGCTAGATCTTCTAACGGAAAGCACTTAATAACCACCAATCCCATGTGCAATACATGGGTATTAAATAACAAAAGCTCTCAGTTCATTCTGGCATGTGTGCACATATGAATTCATCCATCCATCCATCTCTGCAAAGCTTTTTCTACATCATCTATAGCTAGGGTATATTTCATCATTTATATAACATATTTATTGCCTTCTGCAATATATAAATTCCTCTGCCATCAATGACATCGGTTAAGTATTAGCTGCACACTTTTAATTAATTTTAGCATAAGTCAACTCTTTCAGCCTGATGATATTTAAATTGCATTCCTGGCAATGCTGACTTTGACAGCTGTGCTACAATATTCCACTGATATTTCACTGAAATCATTCAAATGTGCAGAAATATTGAGCAGAAGTCAAGAGGGCAAAAGTTTTCAGTTCGCTGGAAACTCTTAACTAGACCCTCTATTATTTTCAGCTGTCACAGTAACACAGTGTGAATGCTTAAATGCTTCATTCCTTCATACAAGCCATCACTTACCAGTAAAAGGAAATTGTCCAGCCATGTGTAAACGTCAAGTGAGTTGACAGATCCAAGCCAAGGTGCTTGGTGCACCTGGTGCACGGCCGTAAGCCCAATGTCTGTCACTGCAGGGTGGGACATAGCAAAGGGTACGCTGATCCACTGTAACCAAAGAGTAACACTTTGTTCAGGTCTCAAGAAGGCATTCTAAATCTGTGAAATTTTAATATTAACATTGATCTGTTTTGCTTCTTGCATGCTGCGGATCAAAAGCCAAGTTGTTGAGCTGACTTGCAGAAGAGTCAAATTATGTGCTGATGGAACATCTCCGAAATCTGGAGAGCGTGGTGATGGATAGCTTACCTCTGTCCTGGAGAGGGTGAGTGCGAGCAAAGAATTCATCAGTGTATAGGAAAGATGCATTTACACATGTTCATTTTATTTTCCCTAAACTCCACATATATTCTTTACACCCCTTCCTGGACCACACTGTAGTGAAACACCTACATATAAATTTGTGTGCAATAGCATCAGGATTTGCCAGTATACAGGCATGAGACATCACAAACACACCTGAAGGCTTGGGAATTTGTTTTTCATTCAACACAAAGAGGGGTGCTGTTGGTGAATCCACACCTCTCTTGCTCCAGAACACTCAGTAGCCCAGTGTTACAGCACTTTTCTACCGTGAGGGTGAGTTCACTCTGGTCTCTTGACTATTTTCAGTCTCTCTGTTTTTGATCTAGGACAAAAGATCAGTTGAGAAACCCTTCCCAGAGACAGTTTTGGCCAGAAGGTTCATTTCCTTCACCAACAGACTTTTTGTGTATTTACTTGCTGACTTATTTTGCAATGGTGTAACTCACTAAATCTCTATGAGGACAAACTCAGAAGCTCCTAACAAGATGAAAACCAGGCTTTGTGCTTTATGGAATACACCATTGCAAGTACGGCATCCTTAAGGCTCCAGCGATATTCAAAACATGCAGATTACCACAATCCAACTGATCACATTTAAGTGTATGGGATAGCAGGAGTAAGAGGGAAAAAAAATCAAACATCTTCCTCTACTTTGTTGTAAAATTATTGGAATAACATGTCAAGAATATATGAATTATTGCTATGTTTTGCTGCACTGCCTATTATTGAGACTGTCATGTACCATAGTATTCTGTTCTCAGTTACATATTAAACTTTGACAATTTAAACACTTAGGCAGAAAGATTCCCTTCTCACTGTCTGCTTGTCCTTTTCTGGGAAAGATCACCAAAATGTTTCAACTGTAGCCAAGCTATTTTGAGGGAAAACAAACATATTGTCAAAATTAATGGATGTTAATACTCTTCCTGTTGAGAAATTAATGGGGAACAAGGATGTCAAATGGATTTTTTTATTCTTGTTTGTGAATGTCAAATCACAAACATGTCCAAGCGATGAGCTTCTGAAGAGCTATAGTTTGCCCATACTCAGCTGCGATTTTCAGTAGGGTAAATTGCTAAAGGTCCATCTGCAGCCTGCATGCCACAGCCCAGGATTTAACAGGGACCGCATTGCAAATGGATTACAAGATTTTGCAATCCATTCAAGTTCCTGACAGTAACCTAGCTCTTTGTGGTCTCAAGAACTTCCTCCATACTAGTAAATAAAACAAGTCAAGACACTTTCTCTGGCCTTGCAGTTTACTGACATGTCATGGTTTGCATCCATATATCTAGACTCTTTTCCCTGCTGAAAAGGACAGCTCTCAGCTGTTCCTGGGAATTATCTGGGAAAATTCTAGTTGGCGTGTGCCAAAACAGTGCCAGGACTGTATTAACAATTAAGCACTACAGCTGATCCTGCGTTTTCACCTTGGCACTGTTTAACTTGCTTAATATAGACAGAGATCCTATTTCTTCATTGAGCCCTTTCTAGCAGGAGTAGAAAATTCACTGTTTTGAATGAAGGGTCAATAAAACCAAGGCTCATGGAAGTGAAGCAGAAACTGGGACTTTATGTTGGGACTTGAAGCTCAGGAGTAGAAATAGCAGGTAGCTAGAAGGACCTGGACCTCATCGGTTTGGAAACAAGAGACAAAGGACTTCTACGTGGTGGCAAAGAGTTTAGAATGGGGAATTAATAATACAGCTGAGATGAAGAGTCAGTAAATAGTGGGGATACACTGCAGGATCAGCAAAAGACTCACCGGGCAAGACAAAGACAAAGAGCTGAGAATTGCAGATGTGGGTATAGGAGAGAGAGGAGGGAAAGATTTTAAGAGAGAGAGATTACGTAGGACTGTAAGGAGAAAATCAGGGAAGTATGTGGAGTGGCTGAAATAGGGGTTATGGAAGCCTAAGGAAGAAACTGTGGCTGAAATGAGGAGCCAGGGTAGAGAACAGAAGTTTTTAGAACAAGCACCTGTAAGGAACAGGAGAAGAACAGTTATTAGAGGAATGAGCAGTAAAGCTCTGTGCCCGTGGGAATGCAAACTGCTCCAGAGCCTGGAGGGGAAGCTGGGATACCTGTGTCTGTGACATCTTCTGCTGTGACAACTGCTGTGAAAGTGTCCCATCTCATCTAAAACTGCCTCCCCTACAGCACGACCATTTAGATGTTGTCTGAGCCTTCCAGCCCCACTAATGACTCTCGAGGTTATGAATATGGTTCCTTCTCCATGACATTATTGCTGTTTATTTTAAATAGGAAATTACATAACGAGCCCAACCTGAACTAAAAGAACACTATTAAAGCTACAAATCCAACAATTTAGAAGACTGCTATACAGCATTCATTTGCTTTCCCCTCCCTGTCAGCTTCCTGCAGCCTTTAATACAGGATAACATGTTGTTATTCCACGGCATCAGGGTCTTTAGCAGTGCATGAGTTGTTCTCATTGGAAAAGCATTTCTGTATTTTGATTTATCTACAATTTTGGGAATTTACGTAATGCACACCATCTGTAGAAACTGAATGGTTCACAAATATGCATGTTAGGGAAGAAGACAGTATTTTCTCCATGGTGCAGGTGAAGAACAAAGGTATGAGAGAAGAAGATTTGGAATAACTTCTCATTTGAGGTGTCTAGCTGGAACTTGGATTTGCTTTTTCAGGGTATTTAGCATCGTTCCCATGAAGTCAGTTACAAGAGAGAATGCTTAGCACTTCTGCAAATAAGACCATTGGACCTCATGGTAGGATGCCGCAGAGTGAGGAGGCACAGGGGGTTGGTTATTGACCACCTGTGTGAGCTCTGGCTGAAGCAATTTCCCTAGAGCTGCACAAGAACGGCGGTGAAAGCAGAGAAACAGCTCTGGGTCCCCAAGGTGCCATTCTGTTCCTTCACCTTGAACCACCCCATTTATTTCAGTCTGTCTCAGATCTCTGCACGCCTTTAACCATCTATTACTGCCACTGGCAAACAAAGGCAGCAGCTTCTTTGATTGCCCCCCTGTGATCTGAGCCCTGTTGCATTGATGTTTTTCAGAGTAGGGCTTAAAGAACAGCAGTAAATAAAAGAAAAGGCTACCCACTGGCCTATCATTGATAGCTGATGAGAGGATACTCATACCAGCATATTCCAAGGTCATCTGGTGAGACTTCCTATACTATGGTCTCCAAGGATGGTGGAGGGAAATGAGGGAAAAACCAAGAAGGAGATTTAAAGCAGGAGGTTAACTAAGCTGTGTGAGTAGGTGATGGCTACAGGAAAGAGAAGCAGGGGAGTATCAGCTCTGCAGGTCCAATACCAGCGTTTCTGGACTGCTTTATCGACTGCTTCCTACGTCTGATACCTCCATCCTGTGCCTGTGCCTCGGTCCTATGGACGGATAGGGAAGGAGTCAGCTCCAGTCCTATTCTGAGTCAGACATTGGAAAATTGCAAGAGTGTTTGCACTCTCAGACTGGTTGGAAAAAAAGCCAAAGAATCAGGTGTCTTGGTCAGCATTATGGCCAAAGCAGGGGCTGTATGTTGATGTAAATGCAGAATTTTAAATTCAGAGCTCTGTGAGTGGAGATATTCCTTCTCCGTGCTTTCAGTGAAGACACAGTTCCAAAACTGAAGGCAGGCAATAGGTTTCAGCAATCATCACAAGGCTCAGGGCAAAATCCTCAACAAAGAAGAGAAAAACAAGCCAAACTTACCAGTCCCAGAAAGATGCAGAAGAGCTGAACTACATCAGTGTAGGCCACAGAATAAAGCCCACCCACAAGCGTGTACATAGTTGCAATCAGGGCAGAAATAATGACTGAAATATTGACATTAATGTCAATGATCACACTTATAGTGGCACCTATGGGAAAAAACAAAGCACCGTGTATTAGTGTATGTCACAGTACGTCTGCTGAGTAGGCTCACCTTTATTAAGTTGCATATACAGGTGCTGGTCTGACACTTAGCAAGGGGATGAAGATATTCCCCCTCTATCTTCTGCACACCCCTTCTGCATCTCTGAAGGGAGTAGGAAAAGGAAGGCTCCTGTTGGTCTAAGTTTAGCATCTGTCATTTTGCAGGTTCTTACAAAATGGAGGAGAGAATGGTCCCAACAGCCTTTCCTTGCATTGCTCAAGCTCTGTAAGGACTACACTCTCTTGGTCTGCCTGGAGAAAAGCAGCCATGCACAGACAGCTGAAGTTTCCCTAGGGGAGCTGCAGCAGCATGGGAATGAGCGTAACCTTGCAGTAAAAGCTGTCCCTAGGGGAGCTCTGCTGCAACGTATCACACCCTTTTGTGTCTCACTTCTGCTTGGAGCTAGCCCATTTCGACCAAGGAAAGAACGGTAGAGGAGGCATCAGCTATAGGGACGATTGTCCACTGGCCCTTCTAAAGTGCCCTTGAATTGTTTACATGGGACAAAGGTGGATTTCTTTGCAAACTGGAGAAGCCATCCTCCATTGTCAACCTATAAACCAATAACTTTGCCAAGCGCCATCAAGCAGGTTTCATTTGTTGGAAACAAACCACAATGTTGAGCTGACCAGGGATACTTGCTGGCAATGGTCCTTCTAATGCAGCCCAGCATGTCATTGGCTTTCTTTGCCACAAGGGCACTTTGCTGGATCATGGTCAACTTCATTGAATTGTAAGACTTCCAGGTCCGTTTCTGCAAACCTGCTTTCCAGCTGGTCAGCCTCCAGCCTGTACTGGGACATCAGGTTCTACCTCCTGAGGTGCAGGACTTAGCATTTCCCTTTGTTGAACTTCATAAGGTTCCTGTTGTCCCATTTCTGCTGTTTGTTGAGGTCCTTCTGAATGGCAGTACAATCATCTCGTCTATCAGCAACTCCTCACAGTTTTTATTTTCTGCAAACTAGCTGAAGGTGCACTTGGTCCCATCAGCCAGGTCATTAATGAAGATGTTACATGATACAGGACTCAGTATTGACCTCTGGGGTGCACAACAGGTGACTGGCTACCTGGTGGCATCCATGCTGCTGGTCACAGACCTCAGAGCCCAGAAGTTCAGGCAGTTTTCAATCCTCCTCACCGTCCACTTATCTAGTCTGTACTTCATCTGTTTGTCTGTGCCTTCGTTGAAGATGGGAGTGACATTTGTTTTCTGCCAGTCTTGAGGAACATCCCTGATTAGCACAGTCTTCAGAAGATTACTGAGAGTGTCCTTGCGATACTATCAGTCAGCGCTCATGGGATGCATCTCATTAGGTCCCATGAAATTGTGTCTATCCAGTCTATTTAAATGTTTCCTAATCTGATCCTTCTCCAACAAGCCTTCCTTGCCCTGGACTTTCCTAGGGTTCTCAGGATCCTGGGATCCCTGAAGGCTGATCTTGCCAACAAGGAATGAAGCAGAGAAAGCACTGAGTACCTCAGCCTTATCCACATCCTTTGCCACCAAGTCCCCTGTCCCATTTAACAGTAGCCCATGTTTTCCCTAAGTTATGTACTTGTTGAAGGCTTTTTGCTGCCCTACACGGCTGGATTAAGATCCAGATGGACTTTGGCTTTTCTAAACCCATCTCGGCATGCCCAGATAGTGCCCCTGTATTCCTTCCAGGTCACCTGTCCCTGCTTCCACCTCTTGGATGCTTCCTTTTTATGTCTGAATCTAGCCAGGAGCTCCTTTGTCATCCATGCAGGTCTCCTGTGAGCTTTGTTTGTTTTCCTGGTTGTCAGGATGAACTGCTCTTGAGCTTGGAGGAGGTGATCCCTGAATATCAACCAGCTCTCCTGAACTCCTCTTCTCTCCAGGGCTGTCTCCCATGGGATTCCTCCAAACAGATCCCTGGAGAGGCCAAGTCCTACTCTCCTGAAGTCCATTGTTGCAGTTCTGATTTTTGCCTTGTTCCCCCCTCTCAGGACCCTGAACTCCACCATCTCGTTAACACTGCAGCCAAGTCCGCCTCTGACCTTCACATCCCTAACTAGTTCTTCCTTGTTTGTAAGTAACAGGTTCAACACAGCACCTCCTTTCATCAGCTCCCTGATCATTTGTGTCGGGAAGTTGTTGTCAGCGCACCCAAGAAACCTCCTGAATTGCTTGTGCCCTCCTGCACTGCCCTTCCAGCAGCTATCAGGACAGTTATACATTTCCCTTAGATGTATCAGCTATTTCAAGTGATTGAAGCATTTTAAAACCACGTTTAAAAAAATCCTCTCCTTCGAAGTAGGATGATTCAAATTAAATAGCTTGAAACAACTTTTAGTCTCTGAGGGTATTGTAGATGGATATTCTTGACCACATAGGTAGAAGAGTTCTGGCAGTAGAACACAACATGATGTGTGATATGTAAGAGCTGCTGGGAGCTGCCAGGCATTTTTTTGCTGTACAGTGACCCTTCAAAGTTCACATGCTTAAGGACTACAAGCTCAGACCTCTTTCACAAGCTGGAAGCCCTGTCTTTCCCTTCCACAATCTTGCTGAGCAAGGAGTCATGAAGAAGATCGAGTAGTGAAGAGTACTGGGATTAAATATTCATCAGTGAGGACAGGTGTGCAAATCAGAAGGTATAGCATAACTAGATTATTTACAGAATAGTTAAATCAAAACCTTCAATGACCTTTATAACCATTGGCAGTCTTCAACTGTCAGCTGGTAACATAAACCTACTGGAAAGGTATTCACACCACTTGCTTTGAAATACCACCGATTAGCTTGTCCTCAATCAAAAAGAAAGTATATTCCAAATACTCAGAGTGTTCTTCAAGTTATTCAACTCCTATCACCTCAGCATGTAGTGTGTTCTTAGTCCTTTAAGGGTTTTGTGATGAAATTGTGGTAAACAAGCTCCCCGTTGCTCTGCAGTTCATCAGAGCACAGCTGGAGAGTACCTTCAAAGTTTATTTTCCATTTAAAATAGCTTGTGCCAGAAAGCATTACCACATGCATGTGCCCTATGAGTATGATTAGCTGGTAAAAGTCAACTACTGGTGCCTCAACTCAAGGGCTTTCTCAGTTCTTCAAGGGATTGCTAAGTTCAGGCCTGAAATATAATTAAAAACCCTGGAAACTGATTTTTTTTTTCAGGACTGGATGAGTAGCCGGGTGATTTTCTATTGGGTCATAGTTCCACTAACTCTCTGAATACTTTCTTGAATCCTAAGTATTTTCTTCATTTTGTAAAGTAGAAAGCCATTCAGAATTGAATAATACTTCAATTTCTTGATCAGCATCTGGTTTACTTTTAGTATTTGTGCTATGGAAAGTTCTGTATATGTAGGTCTCCTATATGCAAAGAATTACTTCGGTTAGATGCATTGGCAGTAGTGTTTCATGTCTTTAAAGGAAATATTGACTGGCTTCTGTGATCTCAGTGGTGTAAAAAAGAACCTGCGTCAGCCTTGACACAAAAGGGACGTCTACAATCACTCGTGTCACCCTGACAATTAAAGCTAATTTGTTGCTAAATCTTTTCATGCTCTTTGAAAAGGGACAACCTAAAGATACTTGAAAATTAATAGATACCTTGCGTGTCTTTCCATTACCAAAATAATTAATGGGGTATCATTACCGGGTTTAATTACTAGTTAGCACGGGTCTGAGAACAGTCACACTGAATCATTTGGCTAGGATAGTTAGCATTTGAAGCCAGAATTTTAATGCATTTCTGGTTTTCTTAATCCTTTTCACCTGTGATAAATTAATATTTATATTGTTTAATCCTTACCTAAGGCAGAGAAGATGGCAGCAGCCCAAAACATTTCTCCCATTAAAGCTGGAATAAACAGTAGTCCTCCCATCCTTTTTCCATAAAGCTGCTGAAAAGGGTCAAGCATTGTCACATAGCCTTTGGATCGCATGGGTTTTGCAAAAAAAAGGCCACCTACAAAGAAAAGTAGCATAAGACATCAGCTGCAGCGCAGAAATGTATTGCCATTAAGGAGGAAAACGTTGGTTGCCAGTTAAGGGTACAAAAATATCAGTATTACCATTCTTTTTTTTTTTTTTAAAGAAATAAGTACAGTTAAAATATCCTCTATGAACTCTTACCTTACATCTGTCCACAGAGTTACACAAACACATCCACACCATGAATATCTATGGTCTGATAATGAAAAATAGGCTGTCTTATCTTGTGTGATTCAGTTTACTTATCTGTCATTTTGGATGCTGTCAGAGTTTTGTCTAATTTTGGATCAGCCTAAGGGAGTGGCTTTTCTACCTAATCCTGTTCACTCTTAGAGTGGAATCCTGCATGGATTTTCACATGGTCCTACTCTAAAAATAAAACTGTCTGGGATCCCTGGATCAGAAATACGAGTTCACACACGCTTTAGTCCACATACAGCAAATCTGATTCTTTCAGGACAATTCAGATTTATTATGTATGCTTAAATCAACCTTACAACACCTGCAGAGCAGGTCAGATGCTTTCTGGGCTCTGCAGGTGTCAAGCTCCCGGAGCATTTGTCATACACTTATTTCATTTATACATGTTCAGGAATTTTGATGTATCACAATTCCGCTCTGCCTGGCTGGCATATGGGCTGGATATGTACATAAATGTGCAAAGGCCTCACCTTTCTAATGTACAGTCCCCAAATCCTCTCTGACTGGGGAAAAAATGGACATATCTCAGGAAAGCTGAAAGAGCCCTTGTGTGGAACCTGTGTAGTTGAGACCTGCACATGAGTGTAACTAAGTAGACTTCTTCCACAGTAAAACTACTAAAATGCAATGTGTAAGGTACAATAAAAAAAGCCCTGGAAAACCAGCCAATTCCCCATAAAATCTACTGTACATTATTTGACGACCCTTAACTAGGTTCTTCATCACAAGAAATGTAATGTATTCATTATATTGTACAGAAGATTTTTCACATTTCTATGTATTACCTTTTATCACTCATATTTCTTCATTTCATTAAGTTCCCTGAACAGAAGGTACTGGCTTACCAATCACAATTTATTTATACTGCTAATGTTAACTTTCTCTCTAGGCAGGTTGTTCAGATGCAAAAACCCTCCAGCATTTTTTTACTATTCTTGGAATGGTCATGGATTCTATTCCTATTCTCCTTGTTATGTCATCATTACAAAGTACAAATAAAAGAAGGAAAAAACAGTCACTGGTATTATAATCTATTAGAACGTTCAAGCATCTGTCAAAGGAAATAGGAGATTTTCTAACCTTTAAAACTAAATAGTTTGAAAAACTAGGAAGAGTGGTGTGCAGCACAACATTGAACTTACAGGGAGATTACATCAATCTTAAATCCTTCAATCCTTCTGATCTGAAGCAGTAATATTTCTCCTAGCCTTGTATTCACAATTTATTTTTTTTTTAAAGGAAAAACAACTCCTCCCCTCAAACCTGCAAGTACAGATCACGCCTACAGGAATGCTTTCCTCTGTGCTCTGCAGAGAGATGTGGTCACAGGATACAGACTTTTTTTCTCTGCAGTGGCCATTATAATTTCCAGGAAAGAAGAGTCTGGACATCTGAAAACAGCTGGAAATGAAGGGAGAGGCACCTCAACCCCTTCTGGGCTAATATTAATTTGTGTCAATTCTACAGAGGCTAAGATTCAGGAAGATGCTTGCGACTACGAACCTAACGACCGCTTAATGACATCGATAGATCATGACCCCATAATGACATCAACTGATCTCCCAGCAGACATCTACTGTTATTGTTTTCCTTACAGGAAAGAGAGCTGCTCTCAGGGATGGGAACTACTACTCAAGTTGGAGCTGGCCCGCACGCACCAGAGAGGAACATCTACGATGGGGAACGTTTCTACCTGGGAGGAGAGGACAACCAGGACAGGCCATAAAAAAGCTGTTTCCAATGGGGAAAAAAGACTCAGGAGGGAAACCAAGTTGTATAGGAAGAAATAAAAGGGGCGAGAAGACCTGGATAAGCAACCAAAGGAAACAAAGGGACAGACTAGGTGGGAGGACAATGAGAAAAGACTCAAAACAGGCTGAGGTGTCAGGTGTTATTAGAAAGGCTAATACACCGGTCATATTAATGAAAGATGAAAAACACGGAATCTTTTTTGTAACAACTTTCTCTTTAAACAGTTGCATCAGCAATTGCCTTAGGGACATGATGTAGTCAACAATTTTGTGGTGTATTCATCATGGCTCACAAGGCAATACTTTCTTTGTAAGCTGCTCCATGTGGTTGAGACACAGTGAGAAACTTTTTATTGCTATTATTTCTGAGACCACATTTCAGGAATTAGAGGCCACAGCATTAAAGTTATAACCTTGTCTGTATTTTACACTCTGGTCCTGCATATAGCAGGATTGTGTATTTGCATTTTGACAAGTGATTTGGAGTTTTGTACTGCGTTTAAGAGGATGCTTGGACCAATTTTAAGGAAATAGACTGGTTCTACTACAGACTTCCTGCACTAAACTAGACAAGTTACTTAGACGCTTGCTGACGATCTGTAAGGTATAAACACTTCCCTAAACTGAAAGGATATTTGCCACTCTTGAATTCAAAGATTTATAGGTGCCATGATACTATCATGTTCCACATGTTACAGGCACTTATAGAAAACCCCATTATATAAAAATCAGTATATACAATTAAAAAAAATACCACAACAAAATCTTTTTTATTGTGACCTCCATAGATCACTATGGTAATAATCAAATAGGTCTTGCCAAGACATTCAGAACCCTTAAGTTATCAAACTATTTATAGTGATTTTCTGTTTTTCTTTTAATAGCCAAACCTATCAGCAGAAGGGATCCTGTTTACCTCAGTATCCTTTTATCAGACCCTAGTTTTTTCATTTCAAACGCTGGACTTGTCATCAGAACTGTTTAGAATGAGAGATTGTTAGCTTTAGTTCTTTGCTTACCTAAAACCAGACTAAGGGAATACCCAATAGGTGCCTGAGCCCAAGCTAGACCGTAGCCTGGGACATACACGGCTTCTGCTGTCCCGTTGATGTAACCTCCTCCAACCCATGTGGCTGAAAAAGAAGAGGTGGAAAAGTCTTTAATGTACACAAAGAAAGAAAACCTCCCACTCTATAGAATGAAATTATCATCACTTATAATATTGCTATTTGTTATTATATATACGGTACAAGTGCCAGACATGGAATCCTTCTATAAAAGATAGTCCTAATTAAAAAAGACTTACAACCTAAGCATACGAAAAAAGAAGTCAGATGGACTGTGACTGGATCATCAAGGTGTCTAAGCCACTGTATAGTCAGTGAAGATGTGAGGGCTGAGTCCCCCACTACTTGTTTACAATGAATGAAGCACATCAACTTATTAACCACTACTATTTTCTTCATGTTAGTCCAAATGAAGGAGTGATGTAAGGAGGGATCTGAAAAACTGTAAGCATGCAGTGATAAAGTCATCCTAGCTGGGAAAACTCAAAACATTTAGATTAGACAGGAGTTTAATGAATACATCATTTACTAGGGCCTTCATGAAACAAATTGCCCTTAAAACTTTGCGAAATTTTAAATTGTGGCTACATGAAGCATATTTAGTAAACATTGCCTTCCCTAAATGCTGTATTTCCATATAGGGCTGTGGTGGTTTTGTGTTGCTATTTAAGTTCTAAACTTTGATTCATTTATCTTTGTGCTTCCTGAAGACATATTCCAGAAGTGAATAGTGCTATCTATAATATCTCTGATTTTATCTCTCTAAAAAGCAGTATTTTTAATATCCCAGCCTCACACCCTTAATGAAATGATTCTCTGCCTTGAAGGCGATTTTCTACATTTAAGAGTTTGGGACCTACAGTATGTATGAAAGAAAATTTCCAACACAGAAATATATTGTGATTACATCTGCAAAAATAACTCACAACAAATTACATAATAAAGTTTATCTCCTCCTGTTTGCAGATTCCATGAATAACATTCTTGATTTTCTCTAATGTATAACGAGTAAGTTTTATGAATCTGGGTCTGTAGTTTGAACAAGGGCAGGCAGATCATTACAAGTACTAGATTTTTTGAAACGCTATTTTGATGTGCCTCAGAAGCCTTTCTTTTCTCATATAGAAGTAGTTCAGGCTTTCTGGGTAAAAATTCACAGTTGGAAGAAATTTATTTTCCTTAAGCATTCTTCAGCATTTTCCCAGTATCCACCATCATACAAGCAAATTTGATTTTGTGTTTAAGAAAAACAATTGGAGATAAACACAAATGAAGACAATTGAATTAAAGTTCCTAAAGAAATGTCATGAAAATCTAAATGGCCACTCTTTTCTGCTTAGCCGTGACATCTCTCAAATACTACCAGAAGGCACGTTTTTAAACTCAATGCTAAATTACACCATGGCCTTAGAATCAAAGATCTCTGGCAACCAGAGTATTACAATTGTCCCCCTTTCAGCATTTGAAGCACAGGAATCAACCATTCTGTTGTTGGAAATGTTATAACGGGCTTGTATGAGGGCTGTGCATGCAGAGAAAGTCTGTGACAAAAGAAGTGACCCCAGGAGCCCTGTTATTGGTAAACTTTTGGGTATCAAGATCTGTTGTGCACTACAGAAACAAGACAAGAAGTGAGTGATGCCCATGTGGGACCACATGGAGAAGATGAGTGAACACTGATCCTTGATGGGAAGAGCAGGGATACAGAATCTACATAAAAAGTTGTCAGATATTTGGGATGACAGTGTGAATTAAGGTAGGCAGGAATGTGTTGCTTTGGTTACCAGAGTTCTAGGATCACAGAACCATAGAATCATGGAATGGTTTGGTTGGAAGGGCCCTTAAAGATCATCCAGTTCCAACCCCCTGCCATGGGCAGGGACACCTTCCACCAGACCAGGTTACTCCAAGCCCCATCCAACCTGGTCTTGAGCACTTCCAGGGATGGGGCAGCCATGGCTTCTCTGGGTAAACTGTTCAAGCACCTCACCACACTTGCAGGAAAGAATTTCTTCCTAATACCTAATCTAAATCTACCCTCCTTCAGTTTAAAACCGTTACCCCTCATCCTATCACTACACTCCCTGATACAGTCCCTCTCCAGCTTTCCTGTAGGTCCCCTTTGGGTCCTGGAAGGTTGCTCTAAGGTCTTCTCAGAGCCTTCTCTTCCCCAGGCTGAACAATCACAACTCTCTCAGCCTGTCCTCATAGGAAAGATGCTCCAGCATCCTGACCATCTTGGTAGCCCTCCTCTGGACCCATTTGAGCAGGTCCATGTCTTTCTTACGTTGGGGGGGCGGGGCAGAGCTGAAGGCAGTACTGAAGGGGGGTCTCAGCAGAGTGGAGCAGAGGGGCAGAATCCCCTCCCTTGACCTGCTGGCCACGCTGCTTGGGATGCAGTCCAGGATGCAATCGGCTTTCCGGGCTGCCAGCGCACGTGGCTGGGTCATATTCACTTTTTCATCCATCAATACTCCCAAGTCCTTCTCTGCAGGGCTGCTCTCAATCCACTCATTGCCCAGCCTGTATCCATGTTTGGGATTGCCCTGACCCATGTGCAAGACCTTGCGCTTGGCCTTGTTGAACCTCATGAGGTTCACACAGGCCCACCTCTCCAGCCTGTCAAGGTCCCCCTGGACGGCATCCCTTCCCTCTAGAGTATCAACCACACTGCTCAGCTTGGTGTAATCTGCAAAGCTGCTGGCAGAGCACTTGATCTCACTGTTCAAGTCCTTGACAAAGATGCTAAATAATAGTAGTCCCAGTATGGACTCCTGAGGGACACCAGTTGTCACTGATCTCCAGCCGGACATTGAGCTGTTGACTGTTGAGTCCATGACTACCTGGGATGTGTGTTGCCTATTGTGTCTCAAGCAGCATAGAGGAACAGGTTGTAAGCACCTGTATACAATAAAAAAAGTAAATATTTAGAAAGGGAATTACATTTTTCGCCTTCCCTGGAAAAAGCATGAGCATGAATTCTGCATGAATGATACCCACTTCTAGATGGGGAATAATATCCCACAGTCAGGGACAGGTGTCCGGCACTGCTGCAGCTGTGGTGCAAGGGGGCTTCAACATCCACCATCGATTTGCCTGGGGTTGCTACGGAGGTGGCGGGTGCTCTCCAAGGGGCACTTCAATGCTTTGCCTAACTCCCTTATTTTTTTCTGGAGGGGGTCAGGTCACTTCACTTCTGTGTGACACTGAGGGGGCCCTGGCTGAAGGGGAACAATGCCCTATGGACCGATATTGCTGGGAAAGGTGGCATGAAGGATTTAGCACTTACCTTCAATTTGATTTCCTGATTTTGGGATTGGGGGTTGAAAAACAGCTGCTGGTTAACTTTTGTGTGCACGTGACTGGTCTGAAACATCTGCAAAGGACCCCAGAGCTCTAGGAAAGTGCTATATGGCTTTTTTTGAGGGGATGAACGGGTAGCTAGCACATACATTGACATCAGTAAATACATCAGAAAAGAAATAATGAGATATGATAGGATTTGATTTCAACCTTAGATATTAGTTTTCTGATCCTCAGTTTACTAAGCCACAATTTAAAGTTAGTTTAATATCTTTTTTGGTGAAATTATTTTTTTTTTTTTCTAAATCAGACAAAAGGAATATAAAATCTAATAATCTATGGAAACACTCATGTGATAATCTATTTTAATCCTCTCTGCCTGCCATCTGAAAGACCAAAAAATGCAGCAAATACCAACATCCATTTAAAACATGCATCATAAAAAATGATCAGACAAATACTGAGGATATGGAGTACAATTCTGCTCTTAGCTCGTACGAGGAACACAGAAATTAATCTCAGATTTCTTTATATATGTTGATATCTATTAGAAAATCAGATTTTTTGGCACTTCTTTATGAAGTCTGACCACTCAAATTATTGAATCAACTCATTAAGTTCTGTAAAATGAAATCCTGACCTAAGGATTACAAAAAAATAGAATTTTGTAATTTTTTTTTTCTTGTGGAAGGATATGTAGCTCCATCCAACTAAAACGAAAAAATGGCATCAATAGATTATTAACTTTTTGATCATCTTTGTAAGCATTCGATTATCTCATGTCAAATATTTTCTTTGAGGTTTAAATTCAAATCAGTTTAAACGAAATCAGAATAGACTCGTTTGTCACAGATACCACTTCTTAAGAATTTCACCCACAAATTAAGTGACACTAATATTTAATGCCACATTTTAACTATAATGATGTAAAAATGATACACAGATTAAAGGCGTGTCTACTGTGGTACTATGTTAGCTCATTTTAATATGAGCTGTTGTGATCCATCCACAACTCAAGCTTCTCACTCTTTCTGATTGCAGACACACACGGGCTTTGTTTTTTAGGCGTTTCTGTAGCTAGTTGATACAGCTGCTTCTTCAGGATCATCGTATACATCCACATATGTCCATAGCCATTATTCATAGGTAGTGTATTTGCTTTAAGGCTTTTCAATGCCATTTAGAAAACCAACTATAATTACTCAGAAATCTTGAATCCGTCTCTATGCAGTCACAATGCTTACGCTCTGGATTTTATTTTGAATTTATAGGCTGAGTTCTGTCATCTTCACCACCAAGTAGCCCTAGAAACTGTTGCCATTTTCGTAGCCAATACCCATGGAACATGGTAATGTTTGTCTCGGGTAAGAAAGACGGAGTTAGGTCTTATAACTCAAAGTATCTCATGTCCATACAGAACAATATCCTTTCTGGAGATCTTTAAAAATTGCTTGTTTTCCTTTTACAGGGTAGGCTTTTCTTTTTAATTCCTGTTTAGACGGTTAAAGCTGTGAAATATAAAGATGATGTTGGAATAGTCATGTATCTCCGGAGGCATGGTTATGAGGTGCAAAGTCTGCATCTATCATTTTTAAAGAAGCAAACATGGCCTTGAATAATGTGACCATTTAGTAAAAATTATTGCCGATTTTGGTCAGCTTACCTTCACAATTGTTTTGTTCTGGCTTTACAAACTGAATGTCCCAACCACCCAACCGAGACAAAACTCAGACTAACCTAACCCCTGGCGCAGTAGCCTTGTGCCCACAGCTAACTTTGTGTGCCAGCCGTGGTTCCCTCAAACCGAGAGCATAATTTACTTGCCCCCTCAAGCTTTAATTACCATCTTTAAGGAAGGCATAGGTGAGGAAGCGTGTAAACCCTGACTGTATAAAATCCATGAGTGTTTTAGCTGCCTGAAGGCTTTGGGATCAATCAGTCTGATATTCTACCGCAGAGATGATATACTACGCTGTCTCTAGAGCTTACATGAGACGGGTTGAGTGCGCGTGGGTGTGAATTGTGGTGGCTGGAGAAATTGCCTGCAATATAGGAAACCCCAGTTCAAGTCTCATCTCTGCTTCAGCTGTTATGAAAAATATTCCTGTAAAATTAGATTAAGGAAACCAGAATTTGTGTCCTCTTCCACAGGCAAAGCCGTTAGTCATAACCGCTTGTGCGGGGAATGTCTTGTTTCGTCTCCGCTCCCCCAACCTAATGATTACAGCTTTGTGGCAAGCAATATCTCCGCAAAATATTCTGGTTTCAGTGTTCTTGAAAACATTTCATTCAGCAGAAAGCAACCAAACCAGCTCTTGCTATGAGCAGAATCTCATCATATCTGATGCTTCAGTAGCCAATGGATACGTGATACAGTAAATTATAGCAAAGTGTGAAAAGTAGAACATCTGCCTGTATTCAAACTTTGTTGACTTCTACAAACATTCTTTACTCAATATCTAACTATTCAGTCTTTGAATGAGCAAAATGCCCCTGCAAGGTGATGGGAATTTCTCTTGGTTAAAGAACACAGAATTTTGGCCGGAGTTTTATCTGTCTCTTCTTTATTAGATAACTGTGAAACCAGAAGAGGGCAAAACAGCAAAACATAAATATAACCTGATAAATCCAATTTGGCAATTGGCTTTGCCTGAATAGGATTTAGAAAAAATAAAAAACGAAGCATGCTTAAAAATTAAATCACTTAAATAAAAATGGTGGGCCAATTCACTCTTTTTATAATGCATTTTTGTTCCAATACTGTATGTTAGCTGTAAGATTTGAGATTTTGGACCATACTGTGAGTATCTTACCCAGGTAAGACACCTGGTTCGACTGGCTCTGGGAGTCAGACAGGATTGCTTACAAAACCAGTGAAGAACTCTTCCTTCACCCAGGCTTTGCTTACTGGTACTACTATTATCAGCAATGTATTATTTTGCCAAACTGCTGCCAAAGAAGCTAAAAGAATCCACAAAGTAAGTCTGCTGAAATCAGTGGAATTGGAAGTCTGGATTTATGCCAATTTTCTTTTAGAAACTTATTCTTAATTGATTTTGCACATCATCATCAACCCCCCCCATCTTTTTGCATATAAACTTTGTTTTACTCAGATTAAACAAAAATAACTCACCAATTTGGATGGCTTTAACAACAATAACAATTATTTTAAAACTGGATTTCTTATTAATCTATACAAATTCTATACTTCTGTCCCAAATATATGTGATCTACAGATTAATATGAAAGCAATGAATAAGAATTATATTATATACTTCTTGTATGATTTTAAAATATTTGTTGTTTTTATATAGATGTTACATTTGGCTGTTCACTAAACAGCGTTAGCATCAACTGGAAAAAAAAATACATATTTTCTCCATTTTGCATTATTCAACATGCAGATTACACTTCTTGATTCAGATGAAAAACTGACAAGTTGTATGCTGGTTAGAAAAAAAAAAAGAAAAGCTGTTTTTTACATACCGGTCATTGTAAATCCACCAACTAGCAAGCCAATGTCTCTTCCACCGACTATGATAGCTTCGCTGCGATCTCCTTCGCTGCCGGTGTTCTTGGTTTTCCAAGCAGCCCATATCCCAACCGCCAGGATCGCCAGGTAGAATACAACGATGGCCACCAGCCCCTCCACATGGAAAGCCATGTTGAAGTCCCGGCTGTTTCTTTGATCGCTATTTCATTAAGACCTCTGGAGAGAATGCAATAAGAGGTTTGCTTTTAACAAACCTGGTAGGATGCTTTTTAGAATCGGTGCACAAAGAAAACTTGAATGGTTATTAAAGAGACTGTTCTGGTGAATTTCTGAAATGAGTATTTCAGATGTAATTGGAATTAAGTTTACATGCCTGTGGAGTAACAATCAACAATTGTAACCTGCTATTACAAAGGGAAACGAATGATGTGGCTGAAAGCTACACAATTCTTAGGAATCAGTTACTGAGCACTGAATTCTCTTAGTCTCACAAAGTCCTCAATGCCTGGGAGCGCCTCAGTTAAGAAATAGTTTGGTGCATGGAAGAGAAGGTCTTT